CACACACACACACACACACACACACACACACACACACACACACACCCCACATTCTTAATAGCATCTAAGAGCTAACTAGATAGTGAGTGAGGGAATGTTGTGCCATGGTCCAGTAGAGGACAGGATTCCAAAGAGTTGACCCTGAGATTTGAGGCTGCTGAGAGGTCAAGTTCACTTCTAGTGGCCTTGCATGGCTGGAGACAAAAATCGGTCAGGGGCCTGTCAAGGTTGGGGGACTGATAAACCACACCCCACATTAGTCTCAGCTCCCAAAAGACTGTACCCCAGAAATAAAGGTGAACTGAAAGCATATCAGCCTGTCCCTGAATGGCAGTCCAGCTGTGAGTCATCAAGGTGCTCCGGAAAACATCATGCCCTAAGTATGAACTGAGATGATCTCAGTTTGCTCATCCCTCCAGGCACCTGGCAAAAGCAATAGAAAATTCTCTCTGGTGAATGACAAAACAAACCCATTTAAATAATCTCTGCAAATAATTTCACACACAATATTTACCACACGGACACACACACACACACACACGAGGAAGCAAGATTCCTTGAGCTAAAACCATCAGAAACAATAGTCAACAGAAATAGAGCTGGAGGAACTCCAGACTAAAAAAAAATTACACTTACTACGTCTAAGATGTTAAATGCCAAAATTGAAAGCTTCAACAGGGAGCTGGAAACTATAAAATTACATAGTATATGCAAAAAAGAAATACAATAAAACTAAAACCCAAAAGTTATAGCTCAATGGGTGGGCTTAACAGCAGATATGACATGGCTGAAGAACTAATTTGAGAAATGGAAGGCTGGTCAGAAGAAACAACCTAACCCTGGCTTGATAGCTCACTTGGTTAGAGTGTCATCCCGACATGCCAAGGATTAGGGTTCAGTTCCCTGGTTGAATTGAACCAAGAAGCAACCAATGAATGCATAAGTAAGTGGAACAACAAACTGATATCTCTCTCTCTCTCTTTAAAAATCAATCAATCCATAAATAAAAAGAAGTGGCTCAGTTGGTTGGAGTGTTGTCCTGTGTACCAAAGGGTTGCGGGTTTGATTCCCAGTCAGGGCACATACCCAGGTTGCAGGTTCGATCCCCAGTAGGGGTGTGTAAGGGAGGCTACTGATCAATATTTCTCTCATATCAATGTTTTTCTTTCTATATGTATCTCTCTATCTCCGTCTCCCTTCCTCTCTCTATAAAATCAATAAAAAAGGGTAAGAGAGAAAAAGAACAATTTAATAAGAAGTATGGAGAGACAGCCCTGGCTGGTATGGCTCAGTTGCTTGGGCATCATCCCATGCACAAAAGGGTTGCCAGTTTGATTCCAGGTCAGGGCATATGCCTGGGTTTTGGGTTCAATCCTCAGTTGGGACAAGTGTAGGAGGCAGCCAATCGATGTTTCTCTCTCTTTCTCTCCCTCTCCTTTCCTCCTCTCTCTAAAAATCAATAAAAACATATTTGAAAAACAAGAATTATAGAGAGACAAAAAGATGGGAAATACAGAAGAAAAGGTTATAGATATGGAAATTACAATGAGAAGATCTTACATATGTTTAATTGCAGTCCCAGAAGAAGGGAAGGAAGAGAGATGGGAACAGAAGCAATACTAGAAAAGATGATAATTGAGAACTTTCCAGAATAGATGGAAGATATCAATCTATAGATTTAAAAACTCAAATGAATCACAAGCAGAATTTTAAAAAATTCACTCCCTGATCCATCATTGTGAAAATGTAGAAAATCAACGACAAAGAGAAAAATAGTGAAAGCATCCAGAGGAAAACAATAGGTAATCGTGCCAGTTGTTTACCTCTTGCCTCTCAGGGCTAAGGCCATCCTTCTATAATATGCTCTGTGATGCTGGGGCTAGGATCTCAAACCACAGTTCCCAGGCCCCCTTGCCAGCTGAAACTCCTGTTGGATTCTGCCAAAGGGAAGCCTAAAAGGAGATTAGGAGGGAGAATGGGATCCCTTCCTGTCTGCTTCCAGTAGGCTTCAATTCAGGACTCTCCAGCTCTCCGGCTCCTTTCAACATGCCTGGCACCAGCTACACTGAACCCCCTCACAGGTAATAGCCCAAGCCAGCAGGGCCCTTGGGGGGCAGGGGGGGTTCTCCTCCAAGGCCCTAGATCCTGTTAACCTTATCTCTTTTTTTGTTGTTAATCCTCACCTGAGGACTTTTTTACATTGATTTTTAGAGAAAGTGGAAGGGAGGAGGACTGACACAGAGAGAAACATCGATGTGAGAGAGACACATCCGTTGGTTGCTTCCCGCACATACCCTGACCAGGACCAGGGACCAAACCTGCAACCAAGGTTCATGCCCTTGAGCAGAATCGAGCCTGGGATCCTTCAGTTTGTGGGCTGACACTCTATCCACTGTGCCGAACCGGCTAGGCTAGCCTTCTCTTCCCTTTATCCTCCTAAGCCTATGAGTGACAGCTGCTTCCTTTAATTACTATTTGGACACCATCCTCATTACTCTTTCAGGCTTCCAAAACCTGCATATACAATCCACCTTGTGTATTATATATCTCCTTTATTTGAAAAACTACTGGTAGTATGGCTTGTATTTTCCTGAGTAGACCCTAAGT